GGGGGGGGGGGGGGGGGGGGGGGGAGGAGGTCCTACAGTTATCTAAAACGCCTTTTCTCAATTTGGCAACTTTAAGACAGGTGAACTTCAACGCCCAGAATCTCCCCCCCCCCCCCCCAGCCAGGGTATCAGTTTCCAATTTAATTCTCACGCCGTCCCGTCCACATTTAACCTGTTTGTTTATTTAATTCATCACCGGATGGGGGGGGTTTTCCCCCACTTTCCTGTACTCAAGATATATGTTACATCCATCACATTCCCACTATCTATTAAGAAAGTTACCCTATCAGAAAGTGGGACAGACATCAGGAATCTCCAAACTTGGCCACTTTATAAGACCTGTGGACTTCAACTCCCAGAATTCCCCACCTGGCTATTTCCCCCCCCCCACGTTGGCTGAAGTCAAGGTATATTCCACTGAGCGCATTCCCTCCGTCTATTAAGGAAGGGACCCTGTCAGAAAATAGGTAATGAAGCCGGTCTAGACATATTTCTCCTCCCATCAGTCTGAGTATTTCGGTCAAAAGATTTGCCTGGCTGTGCAATTTCTAGGGCGGCCCAAGTCAACTTGCCTTCAAGGTGCAAAACAGCTCACCTGTGGCTTCTACCTGGCTCCCGGGATCACCTGTAGGAAAAGCCCTTCTCTGCTGGAGCACCTGGTCACTGCGACGCTGCCCTGCCAGGCCCAGCTGCTCCCACCCTGACCAGGTCCAAAAGTGGCCAGGAAGACCTGAGTCTGGGCCAGCGGTGTAATCTGACAAAGCACCTCAGACAGGCCCCCTCCATGGCTGCCCTTGAAGTAGAGGGAGGGAGGGGTGCCAGATTCTTCTGCAGTTAACTTTATAAGAAAGGCACGGACGAGTTTGGCCTCTTAGCCTGGCCTACAACAGCCCCCAAATGTGTTCTGGCTTGACTGACCCACCTTCTCCGCAGTCTTTTTCTAGAAAAAGGGCGGAGAAGAGCAACCACGATGATGAGGGGACTGGATGCTAAAATATATGAAAAAGGGTTGCAGGAACCGGGCCTGGCTAGTCTAGGGAAGAGAAGGACCAGGGGAGACAGGAGAGCAGCCTTCCAATAGTTGAGGGGCTGCCCCAGAGAGGAGGAGCAAATCAACCTGTTTTCTAAAGCACCTTTGAAGGCCAGACAAGGAACAATGGATGGAAACTGAACAAGGAGAGATTCAACCTGGAAATAAGGAGAAACTTTCTGACAGGGAGGACAATTAATGTGTGGGAGAACTTGCCTCCACGAGCGGTGAATGCTCCAGCACTGGAATTTTTTAAGATGATGTTGGATAACCCTTTGTCTGAAGTGGTGTAGGGTTTCCTGCCTAAACCTCCAGGGGTTGGACTAGAAGACCTCCAAGGTCCCTTCCAACTCTGTTTATTCTATTCTATTTCTATTCTTATTCTATTCTCTTCTATTTTAATTCTCTTCTCTTCTATTCTCTTTTCTATTCTTATTCTTTTCTCTTCTATTTTAATTCTATTCTATTCTATTCTTATTCTATTCTCTTCTATTTTAATTCTATTCTAATTCTATTCTATTATCTTTTCTATTCTCTATTCTATTTCTATTTCTATTCTATTCTCTTTTCTATTCTTATTCTTTTCTCTTCTCCCTTCTATTCTATTCTATCCGAAGGCTGGACAAGAAGCAAAGGATGGAAACCAAGCAAGGAGAGAAGCAACCTGGAATTAAGGAGAAATGTCCTGCCAGCGGGAACAATTCGCCAGCGGAACAGCTTGCCGCCAGAAGTTGTGGGTGCTCCATCACTGGAGGTTTTTAAGAAGAGACCAGGCAGCTATTTGTCTGAGATGATATAGGGTTTCCTGCCTGCACGGGGGGTTGGGCTAGAAGACCTCCAAGGGTCCCACTTCCAATCCGGTTATTCCGATATCCTGACCAACTGCCACCCTCCCTATGACAATGGAGACATCACAAGCTCTCCAACCTGTGGAGGAGCCACCTCCCCAAGGAAGGGCAACGCGGCCTCAAACCCACCACAATCTGACCCTTGGACTACACTGCCCGGAGAGGCGTTCGTGAAATGGGCCTGCTTTGTACATTTGACGACCAAACCCACAGGACCACTTGCTGACCGCAAGCCCCCGCCCCCCCCCCAAACCCAGGCCTACCTGGAAGTCATTTCTCTTGATGTTGGGCACGTCCATGTTGTGAGTGGAAGGGCAGATATCTTCGTATTTTTTCCCAGTGAAGATGTCTATGCCGACGAGATGCACCTAGGAGGGCGGCAGAGGGAGAGAACGGCCTTAGAGAGAATGCGAGGAGGAGGAGGAGGAGGAGGAGGAGGAGGAGGAGGAAAAGGACTGTGGGGGCCCTTGGTGCTCTCTGAGCTTGATTGTTTCCTTGCAGACGTTTTGTGACCCAACTAGGGAACATCGTCAGTGCTAGAAGGGAGAGGGGTTTGCAGAGGAGGAGGAGGAGGAGGAAGTAGCAGCCCTGCCTGGCAGAACAGCTCAAGGGAGCCCCTTTCCAACAGCAGGGTACCCCGTCTCTGTTGCCCTGCCCCGATCTTCTCCCCCATCCCAAAGGGCTGGCGGGGGCTTTCCCCCCTCCCGGGGGGGGGGGAGCCTCTCCATTCCCAGGAACTTCCCCCCCCCTCCGCCCCCCCCCCCTTTCGTCCGCACATCTTAAAATGTTGATGAGGTTGGGAAATGTGTGTCTGGGGCCGTCTCGTCTACCACCCCACAATAGGACTGGTGTGTGTGTGTGAGAGAGCTTGCAGTCCAGACAGCTTACGGGGTGTGTGTGTGTGTGTTGCGTTTTGTGCCCTTTCCTGCCCTTTCGTTAAGCGAGTCACTGCAATTGCTAAATTATTAGCACAGTCGTTAAACGGATCTGGCTTTCCCCATCAGGTCACCAGGACACTGCGGCCGTCATAAAGGCGAACCAGTGGTCAAGCACCTGAAGGTAAATCATCTCTCCATGGGGGACGCTGCAACGGTCGTTAAGTGTGTTTAAGCGGTCCCAAGTGTCCCTTTTTTCAGTGCCATTGTTAACTTTGAACCGTCGCTAAACGAACGATTGTAAGTCAAGGACTACCTGGATATCTCTAGCATTGAAGGTGGGCCGGACATGCTTGGGTGTTCTGTAGGTAAGAAATTAAAATTTGGCTTCTGGTCTCCGGAGAGACTCTTTGTTGGAATAATCTTGTTTAGTGACTCTGGCACTGGCAAAACTGACTTGCGACCGCTTTTTTCACACTTAACAACCGTTGTAGTCACAAGAAACCCGCCCACCCAATTAGTTGTTCAGTGGATTACAGGTAGTTCTCAACTTATGACGACATATTCAGCCCAGCCTTTCCGAGGCTGTGCAAAGGGAGTTGAATTTGGCCCTGTTTTGACACCTTTCCTTGCCACGGTTGTTAACACGAATCCCTGCTGTTGTTAAATGAGACACATGGTTGTTAAGTGAATCCTGCTTCCCCCTCCCCCCCCCATTGGCTTGGCTTGTCAGAAGGTTGCAAGAGAGGATCACGCAACCGTGGGACGCTGTGACCGTTGTAAACGCGAATTGGCTGTGCCAAGCGTCCGGATTTTTGATCCCGCGACTGTGGAGACAGTGTGTCGGCCGTTAAGTGTGACCAAACGGTCGTAAGTCATGCTTCTTCCCCCACTTCCCCCGAAACTTGGAACGAATTGTCCAGGGCTATCATGGATCACCCAGGCCAGGAAGATTAAGGATGAAGAGACAGGTAACTTTGAATGGCTCCTTTCTGGGGGACCAAACTCTTGTACCCAACATCCCATAGTCAGAACTTAATGGGGGGACTGGGGAAGATTTTTATTTTTTTTTAAATTTCCCTTGCAGAATACAGCAATTTTGTGTTTTTTTTTTTTTTTGGTGCTAACTGCACGTTGACCTGAGCCTACGTAGCCAGCTCCGTAAAGCGAAGGAAGGCTCGGCTCAGGAAAGGAGTGACAACTGTAGTCAAAAAGACCAACAAAGACTGTGTGGGGTGTGTGTGTGTGTGTGTGTGAAATATCCAGGCCTCCTGAGTGGCATCGGACCAGAGGGGCATCTCCTAGCCAAGCAGAAAAATGGCACTAAGGGAATATCTGTAGCTTTTGGCGGGGGAGAGGGGGGGGTGTCCTTGGTGGTTTGCTTGCAGGCGTTTCATGACCCAGCTAGGGAACATCACCCGTGCTGGTTAACCCCCCCCCCGACGTCCTGTTCTAGCACGGATGATGTTACCTAGTTGGGTCATGAAACGCCTGCAAGGAAACAAGCCAGCTCAGAGAGCACCAAGGACCCCATCGTCTTCCTCCTCCTCCCTACTAACATGGATGGTGTTACCTAGTTGGGTCATGAAATGTCTACAAGAAATGGGCAGAAAGCCCCAAGGACCCCATAATCCTCCTCCTCTTTTCTCCTTCTCTCTGTAAACCCCACTCCCTTCTAACACTGATGAGGTTCCCTAGTTGGGTCATGAGATGTCTGCAAGAAAACCAACCCGGCTCAGAGAGCACCAAGGACCCCACAGTTGTTGTTGCTGCTCCTCCCTTCTAGCACTGATGACATTCCCTAGTTGGGTCATGAAACGTCTGCAAGGAAAAATGAAGGCCAGAGACCCAGGATGCTGGTCATTCTCCTCTACCTGGCCAGCTGCACAATGGGACCTACACAACACACACACACACACACACACACCCAAAGCAGCAAAGGGGAAAACCCCCGCTCGACACCCGTCGGGCACACGCCAACCCGCACACCACGGGGGGTTTCCCCAAGGTGTCCTCCCTCCCCTCCCCGCCACAGACTGACACAGACTGAGGACGCACACACAACCCCTGCCCCTTACTTTGGCGTGGCCGTGCTTGCCCGTCTTCGAAGTGGACATCTCCACAATCTTGCACGGACGTCCCTTGAGCACCACGAAGCCGTTCTTCCGGAGGGCGGAGCACTGCATGGGGAAAGTGGCGGAGGCGCCGGCATCGCCGGTCTCGAAGTCCAGGTCATCAGCCATGGTGGATCAGGTGTTGTGGAAACCGCGGGGGGGGGGGGGGGGGGGGGGGGGAGGGGGAGGAGGGGAGAAAGGTTAGGACGGGAGTGGGCAGGAGGTGTGCCCACGCACTGGCTGGATGGGCAAGCTTGGGAGAAGGGAAACAAATCCTGCCGGAGGGAGAACGCGACTCTCAAGGCCTCTACACGCCCACGTAGTTTCCACACCCGCTGGTTGGCACATGGCAAGCACACCTGTTGCTCCCAGAGCTGGGAAAAGACAGGATGGTGCACGGAGACGGATTAAAGCAGGGGAGCCTCCAACTTTTAAGACGGGCGGACTCCGACTCCCAGAATTCCCCCCACCAGCCGGCTTCACTAAGACTTCAACTCTCTCTCTGCCTGCTTCCTCTCTTGTCATCCCTTCCTCTGCAATCTC